AAAAAAAACACACAAACTGATAAATATAAGAGCCTTATTTACCTCATGTCTATTCATTCAAATGATCTTTGACCTTTAACCTCGGTCAACAGGGTCACCAAAACACCCCCATGTCCTCGCCACTGACCCGATAAACATGCTAATGAGAGCCGTTTGTCAATACACTTCAGCGTTTATGAGTTACGGCTGTCCTAAACATATTGAATAACACGACGGAAAAAACAAACAAAATACATACGGCATTAATCGATGTTGTTTTATACACGTCAGGTAGGTGTTTGGGAAGGGGGGGGGGTGTATAAATGGTGTTGAGGGGAGGGGAGGTTGGGGAGGTTAATTGGGTATGAGCCAATTCACCTCTGGTTATAACTGGGTCATTATTTACAAAGATCAACACACGGGTTTTGGGCTCAAACTACGGGACATGAATTTCTCGTATCAATACCTTGCAACTCAGCGGCTCTCTCTCTCTCTCTCTCTCTCTCTCTCTCTCTCTCTCTCTCTCTCTCTCTCTCTCTCTCTCTCTCTCTCTCTCTCTCTCACACACACCAGCACAACCACAACTATCATCACCACTATTATTATTACTAAACCAAACACCACTACCAATATCGCCACCATTATCACCACCATCATTACTACCACTCACCCCACTCACCATTACCACCATTACAGTCACCACTATTACCATCATGATCACTACCAGCATCACACACCACCACCACCACCACCTAATACCACCACCACCACTAATACCACCACCACCACTACCACCACCACTACCACCACCACTAATACCACCACCACCACTAATACCACCACCACTACCTCCACCACAACTATTTCCGCAATTATAAGGTTATTTTATCCAGGAAATGAAAGGAAGAGAAAGAATTTGTTAATTTAAAAAATGTGATGGATTTTTCGGCATGATTTCGCGTGGCTCTTGGTCGCGAATATTTTTGGCGGTTTATGATCGCAAAAAGAACCTGTTGATTATTTTGGTGTCTAATCGCGAATGCTTGAGAGAGAGTGAGAAAGAGAGAGTGTGTATGCACTCCTACATCCATACTATGCACTGTCAGTTAAATGCACGACTTCCAATCAACAAACTACTTTCTCTCTCTTGTCTGTCTCACCCCCCCCCCCACACCCACTACATGGTCACCCAATAAGCCAACACATATCACAACCTCATTCCACTTTCCTTGTGGTGTAATTTGCATACTGTCATCTGGCATCTTTCCTCTGTGAACCATTTATTCAGGGTATCACGGCGGAGGCATCAAGAGCTCCTGTTTACACTGGTGACGACACAAAGCGACTCTTTGTATAAGCGAACGACAGCCTAGTGACTCGTGTTGCCAGGCGCGCGATAACTGTACCTTAGTTAGACTAGAAGCCGTGTTGCCAGGCGTACGATAACTGTGCGGAAGAGCTTTGGACCTGTGTTTTCAAAGTTAAAATGATCTCTCTCTCTCTCTCTCTCTCTCTCTCTCTCTCTCTCTCTCTCTCTCACCGTGATTGTACAATGATACAACATAATGAGTGTATGAACGCTTTGATGATTATGTTGCCAAATGTATGATAATATCACAATGATGGTACAAGAGGTTGGAGGCCCATGTTGTCTGATGTATGAGTGTTATATATGTTGCCAAGTGTATGATGAGGCTGGGAAGATTAGTAGTGCTGCCTGATGCATGATAATTTTACTTAATTATTACACAGCTCAAAGTTGCCAAATGTATAATAACCTGATAAAAGTAGAATAATAAAGACAGCTTGCTACCAGAGACAAGAGAATAAGAGAAATTGAACAAAAACATAACTAATCATATGGGAGTTTTCGATGACCTAGTTGCCAAACGTGCGATAATAACATATGCATTTAAGAAAGGAGAGAAATTAATTTGCTGAAAGAATGAATTTGAAGAACATAAAGGAGATCGTAATATAATATAGGTAAATGAGAGTATATTGCAGGGTAGAACAATAATGACCTAGAGCGAGTGTACGATAACATAGGAGAGAAACACTTGCCAGACGTATGATAACAACATAAAATAAGAGTGACTGTAGGGTGGACCACAAGTTGCCGGACGTATGATAACAACATAAAATAAGAGTGTGTTACTGTAGGGAGGACCACAAGTTGCCGGACGTATGATAACAACATAAAATAAGAGTGTGTTACTGTAGGATGGACCACAAGTTGCCGGACGTATGATAACAACATAAAATAAGTGTGTTACTGTATGGTGGACCACAAGTTGCCGGACGTATGATAACAACATAAAATAAGAGTGTGTTACTGTAGGGTGGACCACAAGTTGCCGGACGTATGATAACAACATAAAATAAGTGTGTTACTGTAGGGAGGACCACAAGTTGCCGGACGTATGATAACAACATAAAATAAGTGTGTTACTGTAGGGTGGACCACAAGTTGCCGGACGTATGATAACAACATAAAATAAGTGTGTTACTGGGGTGGATCACAAGTTGCCGGACGTATGATAACAACATAAAATAAGAGTGTGTTACTGTAGGGTGGACCACAAGTTGCCGGACGTATGATAACAACATAAAATAAGTGTGTTACTGTAGGGAGGACCACAAGTTGCCGGACGTATGATAACAACATAAAATAACTGTAGGGTGGACCACAAGTTGCCGGACGTATGTGTGTTACTGTAGGGTGGACCACAAGTTGCCGGACGTATGATAACAACATAAAATAAGAGTGTGTTACTGTAGGGTGGACCACAAGTTGCCGGACGTATGATAACAACATAAAATAAGAGTGTGTTACTGTAGGGTGGACCACAAGTTGCCGGACGTATGATAACATCATAAAATAAGAGTGTGTTACTGTAGGGTGGACCACAAGTTGCCGGACGTATGATAACATCATAAAATAAGTGTGTTACTGTAGGGTGGACCACAAGTTGCCGGACGTATGATAACATAAAATAAGAGTGTGTTACTGTAGGATGGACCACAAGTTGCCGGACGTATGATAACTCCCATTGTTTACTCGGTGCCGTTTCGATTAGCCAATAATTACATCATCAAAGACACTAGTTTGTTGACATTATTGACCGTGTGAGTTGCCACTATTGTTAAACTTGCCTCCATCGACGGTATGTATGTATGTATGTATGTATGTATGTATGTATGTATGATTGTATGATTGTATGTATGTACAGTATGTGTGTGTACACCTGTTCTCTAGGCCAACTTATCGGTTAACTATATCGGTCTATCCGGCTCCCACTTCCTAACTGGCTATCTCGTCCTACCCGGCCACCGGTACCATAAACTGCCGGTTCAGTGAGTGCTCCATCGCCTTAATTTGCCGGTGCTTCAAGCTGTTGTGTGTTTAATTTTACGCTCTCTCTCTCTCTCTCTCTCTCTCTCTCTCTCTCTCTGTCTCTCTCTCTCTCTCCACTCACATCCCTCTCTTTTTCTTCCCTTTCACCTCCCCCTTCCCCCTCTGACCTCTCTTCCTTCCCTCACCCCCTCTCTTCCTTCTTATTCCCCTCTCTCTTCACTCTCAGAACACTCACACTCCTCTCCCTTCCCACTCACACCTCTCTCTTTTCCCTCTCAAACCCCTCTCTTCCTTTCCTTTCACACCCCACTCACAACCTCTCCCTTCCCTCTCATTTCTCTCTCGCTCTTCCCTCATTTCTCTGTTCCTTTCCTAAACATCCCACTCACACTCTCTCCATACCCTCTCACATCCCTCTCTTTCGTCCCTCTCCCTTCGTTATCGTGGATTTCTCTTCCCCTTCACTCTCTCATCACTCCCCTTGCCCACCATTTATCACACTTGACTGTCCCTCTGCCATTCATAACTGATCTTTGTATTTCTAACCAATTATTCCATTTTATTTCAGTTATCCCTTTTATTTATGCTATTTCTCCGTTTTCTTGTATTCTTGATATTTACAATTGTTCCGTTTTCTGTTAATTGTTTTTCGTATCTACAAAGTCAAAGCATTTTTTAGTTTTTCTTTGTTTATTGTGTTTTTCCGTTTTATTTACTTATTTTTTTGTATTTGTCTAACTAACAGTTTATTTTTTCTCTGTTATTCCTTCATTTATTAATATTTCTTTTCTAATTAATTATTAACACTTTTCCTTACCTCTAGATTTATGACTAATTGCTTATCCCATTTTTCTTTCTCATTCTTTCTCTCTCTCTTCCCATTTTTTCTTGGCTTCTGTAATTATTCTCCAAATCGTTTATTATTTTACCTTGTCAAGCTATTATCCTCTTTTTTTCTATTCATTAATTATCTTCCTTTTTTTTAGTGGTTAATTATCTTGTTTTCATCTTCCTTTTCTCATATAAGTTTTTTCCTTTATTATCAGACAAACAAAAGATGAAAATTTTAAACATAATTAAACCTAAGAAAATCGTAAATTAAAACACAAAATAAATAAAATCCCCCAAAAGAAGAGAAATAAACCAGAAACAAATACGTAGTTAAATTGGGTTTTATTTTTTTGTTAGTTAAAATAAAAGTCGACGGGATTTTGTTTTTTTATAGAATAGGGTAAATAAAATACTTTGTCTGTATACTGTAATTAAATACGAGATAATACGAGAGGGATAGTCATTTGCATATTATCAATTTGTTTCTTGTTCTTATTTCCTTCATGTGTGTGTGTGTGTGTGTGTGTGTGTGTGTGTGTGTGTGTGTGTGTGTGTGTGTGTGTGTTATTTACAATGAGTAAGTAGATGTTTTTTTCTTATTGTATTATTTTCTCTTTATCTTTTTATTCTAAATCTCTCTTTCTCTGTTTCTTACTTTCTCTCTCTTACTCTCTCCACCATTATTTCTCTCATTCTCCTTCTCTCTACACTTTCCCTTTCTTTCCTTCTTTCCCACTAACTCTCACTAACTCTCTCTTTCTCCCCTCCTTTCCTTTCTCTCCCACCACCACCACACCCCCCTTAACCCCCCTCTTCTTTACCCCTTCCACAGGTGACATTTGAAGGTCTCTGGTCTCGACACACTCACCCGAAGGACTTCCCGACCAACGAGTGGCTGACGCACTTCTCAGACATCATCGGCGCCTCACACTCTGCCGACTACCATGTGTGGAAATATGGTGACTACGCGTCCGATGGTCTCCACCAGGTGGCTGAGTGGGGGTCGACCAGGATGTTGGAGAGTGAACTGAAAAGCCAGGTAAGGTCAATTAGATAGGTGACGTGATTAATTATGATTTGGTGATTAATTATGATGGGTGATTAATTATAATTGGTGATTAATTATAATTAGTGATTAATTATAATTAGTGATTAATTATAATTGTTTTTAATTATGATTAGTTATTAATTATGAATAGTTCTTAATTAGAAATGGAATGCAATTTCTTATGGAGGTAAGCAGATTAATTAGATTGGTGAAAATTTGACTGGTTATAAATTAGATAGGTGCTATAATTAATTACAATTGTAATTAATTAGACGGGCGAAGTGATTAATTAGATAGTTGATAAAGTACATAAATTGGAAAGGCGATTAATTAGACAGGTGAGTAATGTGGGAGGGTATGCAGGAGATCCAGGTGAGTTCAAGGGTTAATTAGACAGGTGTACATATTAATTTGACAGATGGTTAAGTAATTAGATAAATATGTATGTTGTATTGAATTAAAGAACCTGGTGAGATTGATTAAATAGATGGAAAAATTAATTAGACTTTTAATGAGATAACTAATTAGGCAGGTAATAAGGGAACTAATTAGACAGGTAATAAAAATAATTAGGGTGTTAGAAGGAGAATGGAAGATGCAGGTAAATTAATTATACCTTTAGATGACACTTTACCTAAAGTTGATTTCACGTTGAACTTTGACATTCTCTAATACTTTGAAATGACACTGTATGTTGACCTGTTGACCTTCTGTTGTCCTCCTGTTTTCCACCTGGTGACCCTATCGTTGACCCTCTCGCTATCCTCTTGTTGACCTCTCATTTACCATCTCGTTGACCTCTCGTTGACTTCATTGTTGACCTCATTGTTGACCTCTCCCCTACAGAGTGATCACATACGCACCATCATCAAGGCTCGGGGTCTGTGGTACCCCAACGTCAACGGCAAGACCTTTGCTGTGTTCCGCGTGGACAACAGACACCACCTGATGTCCCTGGTGTCCATGTTAGGTGAGAGAGAGAGAGAAAGAGAGAGAGAGATGTTAATCAAATCAAAATCAGCATTTCTCATTATTTTGTTCACTAAATATATTTCACCTGTTTTTCACTGAATATTTTCACATAATATATTTGATGACATATTTTTCATATCATATTTTTCAAAGGAGCCTTTTTTTTAACCTAATAATTTCTAATGGTATACTGTATATCTCACCCAATATATATATTTTTAGCAAATATAGTTCCCCCAATATGTATTTTTCACCTATTGTTTTCACCAATATTTTTCATATTTTAACCATATACTGTATATATAATATTTTTCGCACAATATATTTTACCCCAATATTTTATCTTGTTGTCACCTGATATATTCTTACCCGATATATTTCACCGTATTTTCTTAGTGTCACCCCGATATACAATACATGTCACTCTATATATTCTCACCCGATATATTTCAGGACCATCGCCTGACTGGATCGTGGGCGTGTCTGACTTGGAGTTATGCCTCAAAAACTGCTCATGGGTTGACCAGAAGACTCTCAACCTGTACCCCTGGGACGCTGGTACTGACTCAGGCGTCACTTATGAGGTGTGTGAGGCTTAGGTGGTCATGATAGGCCTTTTTTTTACCTTGTCTTGTTAGGCGTATATCTGTCCTGATGGGCCCTATATACTGTTGGGCCCCTACTTGTCTTGTTGGGCCTTATGTACTGATGGGCCCCATTTGTCCCAATAAGTTCCAACGTAACTTAACCTTTTAAAACCGACTTTAAAAAATATATTCCAAATTGTAATGTCTCATCATAATATGTCCCACTATGTCTCACGCACAATATCTCTCACACTCAATATGTCTCACTTACAATATTTCTCACCACAATATGACTCACAATGTCTAATACACACACACAATATCTCACGTAAAGTATGTCTCACCGCGGACCTTAAGGGACATATTAAACTGTAAATGTCTCATCATCTTTCCCCCCAATGAGACATTTATTTCATGAGTGACGAGAGTGGATGAGAGAGAAGGAGAGGGAAAGATGAGAGGGAAGATAAGGTGGGGTGGATGATGGGTGAGAGGGAGGGATGATGGATGAGAGAGATGGAGGGAAGGAGGGAGGGAGGAAGGGAGGGAAGTTGGGTGCTTGAGAAAGAAAGGAGGGGTGATGGGAAAGAAGGATGGAATGGGGAAAACTTAGAGAGAGCAGGACGGAAGTATGGAGGGAATGGAGGGAAGAAAGATTAGAAAGAAGCAAGGGAGGAGGAAGGAAGGAAGGGAGGGAGAGACATAAATGAAGGTAGGTCGGAGGGAATGGGAGAAAGGAATATAAAAGGATGAAAAGGAAATGGGAAGGAGATATGGAAGGAGTTAGAGAGAAATAATTAGAGAGAGGGACAGATGGAGGGAGAGAGAGAGAAGGTAGGAGAGAAAGAGGATAGCAGGGAAAGTTAGACAACGTTACCCCTTACACACACACACACATCAAATTAACCCCTTCCATTCCTTCCCTATACACTCCATCTAACAAACCAACCATCTATCTATCAAACTATTCCATCTATTTTAACCACACCATCTACCTAACCACCCCATCTCTATCGCTATCTATTCATCTATCTTCCATCCCTCTATTTACAGTCTGCCAATGCTCCTTCTATCCCGAGAGAGAAAATTCGTCGCATTACCAATAGTTACCCAAATGACCCTAAGTCACCCTTCTATGACCCGACCGGAATGCCTATGACGCCCTTGGCCAAGCTCACCATCACCAGGCAGAGGGTGTATGAGAAGGCCTGCTCTGAAACACGTGAGTATCAGGATGTCCTATGAATTTTTTCGGGAGTCTTAGGTGGTATTTTGGAAGTTCTAGAGGAGAGTGGGAAGTCCTATGTGATTTGGGGATTCATAAAGAAGTCCTTGTGTGTAATTTAGAAGTCCTGTAGGAGTGATGGGGAGTCCTGGCAGTTTGGTGAATTCCTAGTAGGGTAATAGGGACGGCTTGTGTAGCTGGTGGTGTGTTTTAATGGGATTATTGTTTGGTGTTTGTGTGTGTTTTGTGTTTGTATACGTGCAGGTGTGTTTTAATATGATGTTTGTTTGTGTATAGTTAGAGGAATACATCACAGGATGGTTGGCGGTGTTTATATAAGATGTGTACATAAGGGTGTGTACATGAAGGTGTGTGTGTACGTGAGGTGTGTGTGTACATAAGGTGTGTACTAATTACCATACACCGGCAGGTCCTGTTGGATTGGACGACCCAGACCTGATCTATTCAGACGACATTGATTCTAACAGACGTAAGTATCCATCCATCTGTCTGTCTGTCTTTAAGTATCTTTTAAATTCAAATTACTTTTTTCTCCTGCTTGTTGGCTGACCAGTAACTCACTCACTCACCACTTAAACGTGTGTTGGTTCGAGTCTTGCAGAAGAATGTAAGTGGCGTGAGATTTAGTTCCACTTTTTTACTTTTTATTTCCAAAGTTGTGTATGAGTCGTGAGTTACGCCCTTCTAGTCCGCGTGTGTTTATTGCCGGCCTGAGGTGCCAACTACTGTATTAATTATTTATTTTAACATCACTGCTCGAGGTATTGTTTTTATTTATTATTATTTTAGCTTCAGTTATGGAGAAAAAAAAAGTTAAAGCTCATAGGTTAAAGGTCCCTGTCGGAAAGGTTAATTTATCTCCAGTTATAAGGGAAAATGTTAATGTATGTATCTTTGTGAGTTAATGGAGCCAGTTTATGTGTAGCCAGTTAGAAGCATTTGTTATCCTCTAGTTAAAGGAATCAGTTAGGAAAAGCTCTATTATATCTTGAGTTAATAAGGAATATTTGCCTTGTGAACCTTTGAGAATTTAACTTTGTATCATAAGTTAAAGGTACCAATAAGAAGCGTTAATATACCGTCAGTTATAGGGGAAATAATTAACTTGTGTATCTGAAAATCTATCAACGTCGCTTAGTCTAAAGTTCTCTAAACCAACCAGTTAAGGGAATTCTTACTTTATTTAGTTAAAGAAACAAGTAAATAATATTAACTCATGGTGTATAAATGTCCACACAGGTTAATAGATACATTACGGACCAACAGTAAGATTAAATATACCCAACTAGTTTAGAGCGGAGCATAATACATGAATTCTAAGTTGGTAAATATGCTCCGCTACCATAACAAAAAACGGAGCCGAGTAAACACCAGTATTTCGGGGGTGACTGAATTATCTTTGGACTAATCTGATATTTTGAATGTTTTTTATTGTTGTTTTTTCTTTAGTTTTCTTTACTCAATATTGAAATTATTAATCTCTTGTGGATTAATTGTTAAACGTCGAGTTATTTTTTTCTTACGTTGTTTATGCTGCAGAATATTGCTTGAAGGAAAGTGAAATGTTGAGAGATTTGTGAGAATATAAATTTAAACTCTGTGTTCGCCTTGTTGACGGAGTTTAGCTGGAACTAGTGTGGGAGTTAGACACACTGAAGGTCATACTAGAATATCTTCAGAGCTAAATTAGTGTGATCAGTGTGTTGATATTCATACCACGACCTGTACCTATTGAGTTATAAAGAAGACTAAGTATGAGCTATATAATAGTAATAGTACACTATATTAGCATTTGTCCTTAATGAATTAGAAACAGGAATTTAATATGATCAGTATTTTGAGCCACACTACGACAAAAAGTGAATTAGGGTGTAAAGTAAATTACTAACTTATATACACTTACAAACAATTATATCGGTGTTACTGTATACACTTTACTGTACATGGGGGAATAGACAGTGTTACCAAATCCACTTTCCAATATTTCTTAACACTTAATGGGCGTTAAGTATATTTTTATGTTTTAAGTGTGAAAGTTGGTACTGGTAATAAGGTAGAGTGAATTTTATCCATAAGTATTTTAAAATGATTAACAAAAGTTTGGGGCGAATAAACTCGATGAATATTTTTTTTGGGGGGGGGGGGTGATATAAATGTGTATTTTTAGTGTTCATTTGTTTTTATTACTGACAAACATTTAAGTGTTGTTAGTTTTGTAATAAAATGTGAAGTTGTTTGAATGTGTGGTCGAGGCTTTAGTTAATGTAAATATTTAGCCTCTGTCGGTATCTCTTTCGGTTTTCACTGTCTGCCTGTCTGTCTGTCTGTCTCTATTTCACTCTGTCTGCCTCTTATTTGACCTGTTTGTCTATCTCTTTGTCTGCCTCTCTCTTTCATTCTGTCTGCTTTTCTCTTTCACTCTGTCGGTCAATCTGTTTGCCTCTGTCTATCTGGAAGCTTGTAATATAAAATTCTATATAATTTACAGGAATTATATATCCCACAAATAAAAATAAAGATGAACAAGCTTTTAATATATACAACACCCAGACGACAGAAAATACTAAGACAAAGACCCCGTCATCAGACTCTTGAACGAGGCTTTGGCTTAATACTCACGAACTATAATATTCATTGTTCGTATGTTTGTGTAAGGCTTAGAGACTAATTCCCCAAGTGTACACAGAACAAGAGAAGGTTGAGCTGGGTTTAATCTGGAACACGAGAACACATTATTGTCGACATAAACAGAGATTTAGGAAGCCGAAGCTGGCGTCATTTCAGTAGAATCGTAGGAGGTGGTGCAATGAGAATTGTGAATGGGTATTTGATCATTTGTTGACGCTTTCTTGTTGGTAAACATTGTAGTAAATTGGATTTTCATTCATTATTGATGTAGTGATATGTGACGTTGTTTACTAAGCTGACAGGAAAAAAAAATCAGCTTTATTTATCCCTTTGATGTTTTATCTGTAAACATAACTTTAATTGAGAGTTTATTCAGAGTTAATGAAGAGAAAATATTGATAGAAAATATGACAGATTCACTTACGCTGATATGAGAGAGAGAGAGAGAGAGAGAGAGAGAGAGAGCCTTAGTTAATCTTACAAAAATCCATCCATCCATCTCTCTCTCTCTCTCTCCTTTTTTATCTTTGTCTGCCTTTCTGTCTATCGCTACTATCCGTCTATTTCCCCTCTCCCATGACCCCTCCCATCCACCAACTCATCACCCTCCCACTCCCCCATCACCCCTCCCCCCACACACCCTCCCACCATCACCCCACAATCACTCTCCCACTCTCCCATCACCCCTGCCTCCAACACCCTCCCACCATCACCCCACAATCACCATACCGCCCTCTCATCACCCCTTCCCACCATCACCCCTCTCCCATTCTCTCATCACCCCTACTAACCCACTCCAATCACCCCCCACAGCTGATTGTCAAGTTGGTGGCTGGTCAGAGTTCACCCCCTGTTCCGTCTCGTGTGGAAAGGGACTACGCATGCGCACTAGGAGCTACCTGATGCCCCTCAAGGCGGATATGGGAGGTTGCAAGAGGCAGTTGGAGGAGAAGGAGATGTGTGCTGCTGCTCAAATCTACTGTGAGGGAGGTGGTGCCTTTGCCTTCTCCGATGACAGACTACAGCTACAGGTGAGAGATAGATAGATAGTTACATAGATAGATTGCTAGAATATATAGACAGATCGATATTTAAACACAACAAATAACGCTCTTTTTTCCCCTCAACACTCACAGGTTCCCAACTTCGACCGTATCTGCGCCACTTCAGATTGGTCTCAGTGGACACCTTGCTCAGAGACGTGTGGGAAGGGACACCGGATGAGGAACAGGCGCTTCCTGCACCGTATGGGACGGAAGAAGTGTGATAAAGCGCTGGTTGATAAGGAGATGTGTGTTGCTGATATAATGGAGTGTGTTGGTCAGCCAGAGAATGTAAGTATTGTTGTGTTGTGTTGTGTTGTGTTGTGTTGTGTTGTGTTGTGTGTGGTGTGGTGTGGTGTGGTGTGGTGTGGTGTGGTGTGGTGTGGTGTGGTGTGTTGTGTTGTGTTGTGTTGTGTTGTGTTGTGTTGTGTTGTTCCTTAGCCTCCTTACCTCCCTCTCCCCTCTAGTCTCCCCCCACCTCCTAGCCTCTCACTATCTCACGAGTATACAGAGAATGAAATAAATAAAGAAAAAAGATTTAGAGAATAGAGAAAGTAAAGAAATAAGAAATAATAAGAAAAAAATAAATAAAAACGTGTTGTTGTGTGTGTGTGTGTGTGTGTGTGTGTGTGTGTGTTTGTGTGTGTGTGTCTGTCTGTCTGTATCTCTTGTCTATCTCTCTATTCCTCTCTCATCAAACCCTTTTCTTGCTATATTTCTTCGTCTCATCGCTCTATTAACTCTCTTCTTTACTCCCTCTCTTCATGTCCTCCCTTTTCACCCTCTTTCCCCTCTCCCCCTCTTCGTCTCAACCCCCCGTTTCTCTCCTCTCCTTTATTACCCCTTTCATCAAATATCTTTTCTCCCTCTATTTCCCCTCTCATCATCTCTCTCCTTTTACTTCATTAACCTAATCCTTCTCTGCATCTTTATTCCCCCTCTCTCCCCTTTTTACCTTCATCCCACACCTTTATTTAACCCTCTCCTTTAGCTACCCTTTTCATTTCATCTCCTTTCATTAACCTTTTTCCTCCACTTCTCTATTTCATTTCCTTCCTCATCAATCTCTTTCCCTTCTTCACCCATTTCACTCTCCTCATTTCAACTATTTCTTCTCAACTAACCCTTTCAAGTCAACCCCTTATATCTCCCCCTTTTTACCCCTGCAGATACCCCCTGAATGCGCCGTCACACAATGGACCGACTTCTCCCCCTGCTCTGCTTCCTGTGGCCAAGGGTTTACCATGAGGGCTCGCTCGTTTCTCATCCCCTCCACCAACAAAGACATGTGCTCAGTGTCTACCATCGAGAAGAAGCTGTGTATGGCTGAAAGACCAAACTGTACTATTTCTCCTGAGGATGCTAAAGGTTAGTGAGAGGATAGGGAGAGGATAGGAAGGATAAAGAGAGGATAAGAAGGATAGAGAAGGGAGGAAGGGATAGGATAGAGAGAGGATAGAGACAGGAAGGACGAGGATAGAGAGAAAGGATAGAGGATAGGGAGAGAAAAAAAGAGATAATAGGGAAAGGATAGAGGAGGATAGAGAGAGGAATAGTATTCAACAATGTCAGAATGAGAGGATATATATTAAAGTGCTGTTACAGAATACATGATACGAGTTACAGTGTAGGGAGAAAGTGGATAGAGAATACAGTTAAGAATAGACGATAAGGTACAGAATTACAGTGTTGGGATAGGAATGTAAAGGATAGGAGAAAATTCAGATGCTGTTGTTGGAGGTAGAGTGTGTTAGGAGGGATTGTGGGTAGAGGATACAGGAATAGGGATTTTTAAGGATAGTTAGGGTAGGGATAGTTAGGGGATAGTGGGTAGGTCGAGGTGTGTGTGATGGAAAGGTGTTTTAGTTAATGTTTTGATTAAATTAGCAGTTAAGTTCCTGTTGTTGATTATTATTATTATTATTATTATTATTATTATTATTATTATTATTATTATTATTATTATTACTTATTATTATTTATTATTATTATTATTATTATTGTAAATATATTATTATTGTTAATATTATTATTATTATTATTATTATTATTATTATTATTATTATTATTATTATTATTATTATTATTTATTATTTATTATTATTTATTATTATTATTATTATTGTAAATATATTATTATTGTTAATATTATTTTTACATATTATTATTATTATTATTATTATTGTGATCATTATCTTTACTGTTTTCCTTAATAATATTCTATTTTTTGTTCTATATCCACGAAAGTGAAAAACAAAATAGAATTCTCCAAATATATCTTAGCATTTATAACTGATTAAATTATCTGTAAAAACATCACAATACGTCGGGGTTAATGGAGAGAATTTATTAACATTAATTCCCATCACATTCTTCTTGTATTTATTTCTATCTAATTCTGAAATCTTTGTAAATATCATTGAAGTCTTTAGTATAAGTTAGATATAAGTAAAATATATCGACGTTTATAAGTGGAAATATAAGTCAGGGGTTGTACCATTGTAGTTGTTGTAGTAATAAGTAAGGAGACCAACTAGTACTTAACTTTAATTGTACTTTTAACTTTTAGTAGTAACTTATAGACACTTATAAAGAGAAGATGTAGAGTAATTAATTTAATAGTAGTGTACTTAATTTTGTTCAAATACTTTTTAGCTTTCGAATACTTTCTCTAATTGTCTAATATTTTCTCTAATTTTCTTACAATTTCTCAAACTTTTAAAAACATTCTCTAACTTTCTAACACATTTTATACATTTCTAACACTTTCTTAACTTTCTAACACCTTCTCTAACTTTCTAACACTTTCTCTAACTTTCTAACACTTTTTCTAACTTTCTAACACTAACATTCTTACACATTTTATAAATTTCTAACACTTTACGTAACTTTCTAACAGTTTATCTAACTGTCTAACACTCATTAACACCATCTAATACTTGTATCACCCTCTCTACATAAAACTTAATCTAACTTCTAATACCACCTAGCACCATCTAGCACAATCTAACACCATTTAACACCATCTAACACCATCCAACACCATTTAACACCATTTAACACTATTTAGCACCTTCTAGTACCAATAAAATCATCTAACACCATCTAACACCTTTAAGCACCAATCGAGATCATCTAACACCATCTAACACCTTCTTTCACCAATGAACACCATCTAACACCATTCAGCATCATCTAACACCATCTAAAACCAATTTAACACCATCTAATACATTCTAACCCCAATCAACACCATCTAACACCACTCAGCACCATCTAACACCATTCAGCATCATCTAACACCATTCAGCACCATCTAACACCATCTCTCTAACACCTCTCTCATCCTCTCAGTGGATTGCACGGCCTTTCGTCAACTCAACATAAGCATACATGATAAGATGCAGTTCGAGTTTTGGTGTCATCTTGGCCAGAGGAGAGGCAAACAAAACACACACCCAAAAGGGAAGTAGTCTATGAAGAACGTTCGTGTGGGTAGGGGGGATCCTCTTGCCTCGCCCACTCTGACCTTTTTTACACCCAATCTGACCTTTTTTACACCCAATCTGACCTTTATTTACGCCCGCCCCGACCTTGTTGTGCCCACTCTGACCTTTCTTTACGCCCGCCTCGACCTTGTTGTTCCCAGAATGACCTTTGTATGTCCGCCCCGACCTTCTTATGCCCACTTCGACATACAATTTGATATTCCTCCGTCCCATTTTGACCTTGTTACTCCTACTTCTAAATGGCTCCTCCCATTCTGATGTAGCTCCTCCCCACTTCGAAATGGCCCTGCCTACTCTGACTTGGTTTCTCCCACCCTGGCATGGTTCCTCCCACTCTGAAATGGTTCCTCCCACTCCGACATGGCTCCTCCCATTCCGACATGGCTCCTCCCACTCCGACATGGCTCCTCCCACTCCGGCATGGCTTCTCCCACTCCTACATGGCTCCTCCCACTCCGACATTGCTCCACCCCACTATAAAACTGCTCCACCTACTCCGGCATAGCCCCTCCCTTTTTGAAAATGCCCCTCCTACTTTGAAATTGTTCAGCCCACTCTAACAATGTCCCTCCCATTCCGATGTAAACGACGATATCGTATCAATTGAGGAATCTGATTGGTGGAGCACAGAGGTGTGTCGAATGTCAAGCGATATGATTGGTCTCTGACTCAGTGGGCGAGGACCTGAGGATCCTTCGATTAGGAATACAGAGTAATAGTTAAAGCATTAGAGTAAAAAGAGTGATAGTAAAAGAAAAAAGAAAAAAAACTCTTCTTTGCATTATACACCGACAGATTTTCATAACAGATACATTGAGTTATAAATTATGGCACCAAATCAAGATCCATCAACGTGCCAGTATTCGTGGCATTAGAGTCGACTTTCATCACTACCACAATATAGTTTCAATAAATGCCACACAATTTTTTTATTTCAATTTCTATTAATATTTCCCCCCTGTTGACTCACTTGTTGTCAGGAATTGCCACAAGAGAGATTCATTTATTTAACGATTATGAATTTTGTCTACTGTAGTTATTGATTTTAAGTTTCGTGTTATTGTTTCGAATATTGTCAATTGTGTCAGTCATCTGCCTTAGTCTTGACAATCTGAAAAGTTGTCTAAGTATAATGCAAAATGGGGTAATGATAACAAACGCAGATATAATTAGTGTAGAGTGATAATTAATGCATACATAGTTATTAAAAGTGTAGTAATTAACGCATACATAATTGCATAGTTATTAAAAAAGTAAAAACTAATGTAGGATAATGGTAGAAAAGAGTGAAATAGGAATAAACGAATTACAATAAAGAAGAGGTAAAAGGCAGAGGAATAATGATTAAATAAATTTTGAGAAATATAAAGAAACCACAATAGCTTATAATGACTAAAGCTATAAATTATAGTTTCCTTTTGTTTATGGTGCAAATAATAGCCTTGGATAACGTCTGGATTTAGATAAATTAATGTAGAATTAGTTTATGTGAAACAATAGCATTTTTCTCCTTTAAAACAAAAGCATTTTCTCCGTATAAACAAAAGCATGACAGTAACACCTTACAAGTAAATAAATAAAATCCACTACACCTGAAGAAAACAATATGGACAAATACTTTTTCTTTCAACTTTTAAATAAAATATTAAGCTAAAGTTACGGACAAAATCCCCTGAACACTCTGGTCAATATTCACGAATTTAATACCAATATATTCTGATATTTTCTTTGTGTTACTGAGTATATTCTGGTATAACCACCATCGTTCTTCAGCCAAAAGTCATTAACATATGTCAGTTACATCCTAGATAAATATTGCCCCAAAAAGTGTCTAGCGAGTCTTGAACGTAACTTTACAGAAGAAACAACAAAAATAATGTGAATTCTTTCCTTAAATATACGATGGTAATAATAATAATAATAATAATAATAATAATAATAATAATAATAATAATAATTTCTTGACAGGGTGAAATATCAATCGTTTTTTCCTGAGTTACCAATTAATTTTTTTTCATATATATTTTTTGCAGTTCACTTTAGTCTAATTATACTAATTATCTCACAAACTGTTTGATTATCAGGTTATAATTCATATTTTAAAAAATTGAATCTTAAAGATTTTTAATAATATACAAGAGAGATTTGTAAACAAAGGTATTACAAAAAAAAGTTTCCATCTATTTTTTTTAGTATAATTTTTTTTACTACCTAATTTACTTTTACTATTTTCAGATACGTATCAAATTAAAACCAATTAAATATATTATCAATAGTCCATATAATTGCTAAATCTAATTAATTTTAGTAACAATTTGTAGTTTTTTTTTTATTAAACCTAAATTAATTATAGTTTTAGCTTTTGTTACTGGTTTAAATATTAGATTACTTTAGCTAGGTTTCTATTGGTTAATTATAAATATTTTGTGATTAATTATCTTTAGTCATTTAGATCGAAACGTTTTAGAGTTAAGACAAGAAATGTTTGAAGAATTAACTGATGAAAACGTTTTAGTGAAGATGGTGAACTAACCCCTTGTGTACGGGGTCCCCTTTCTGCCGACTAAAATCTCCTGGTGTTAGTCAAAGTATTAGAAGTGGCAGCGTCCTCGTAGTGAAAAAAGTAGTGGAGATAGTATATTAATGATGTATTGCAATGTAATATCTACTTTAATTAATCTATTAGGACACTTAAATCCTAAAATTTATTCACTCTGACCAAAAACTCCTAAAATTGATTTATATTGACCTAAAAACTTCCTGAATTTATACCTATTGACCAAAATGTCCCAAAACTTATTTCTAAAGACAATCTTCCTTCACCTATGTCCTAATTGAGGTCAGGTTATATTAGATTGAGTTAGGTTAGGTTACCTTCCTGGTTAGGTTAGGTTAGGTTAGGTTAGGTTAGGTTAGGTTAGGTTACCTTCCTGGTTACAATAACCTCCCCATTTGCTTGCCCCAGTGTTCACTGCCTCTCCTCTTCTCACTCCTCACTTCTCCCCACATTAACCACCCCTGCCCACCTCTCACTCCTCCCCGCAATGACCACACCAGCCCCTCCCTCTCCCCTTCCCACTCACTCTCTTCTTCCACACCTCCTCCTCATCCTTCTGCCCTTCCCACAATAATCTTCTCTTCTTTCCTCCCCAGTAACTAGTCCCTCTCTTCTCCCACCTCTTTCCTACCCCCTCTTTCCTCCCCAGTAACTAGTCCCTCTCTTCTCCCCACATCTTTCCTATCCCCTCTTTCCTCCCCAGTAACTAGTCCCTCTCTTCTCCCACCTCTTTCCTACCCCCTCTTTCCTCACCAGTAACTAGTCCCTCTCTTCTCCCCACATCTTTCCTACCCCCACTTTCCTCACCAGTTACTAGTCCCTCTCTTCTCCCCACCTCTCCTACCCCCTCTTTCCTCCCCAGTAACTAGTCCCTCTCTTCTCCCCACCTCTTTCCCTACCCCTCTTTCTCCCCCAGTAACTAGTCCCTCTCTTCTCCCCACCTCTTTCCCTACCCCTCTTTCCTCACCAGTAACTAGTCCCTCTCTTCTCCCCACCTCTTTTCCTACCCCTCTTTCCTCACCAGTAACTAGTCCTCTCTTCTCCCCACCTCTTTCCTACCCCTCTTTCCTCTGATAACTAGTCCTCTCTTCTCCCCATCTTTCCCTACCCTCTTTCCTCACCAGTAACTAGTCCTCTCTTCTCCCACCTCTTTCCTACCCCTCTTTCCTCCCCAGTAATAGTCTCTCTTCTCACCACCCCTTTCCTACCCCCTCTTTCCTCACAGTAACTAGTCCTCTTCTCCACCACCCTTTCCTACCTCTTTCCTCACCAGTAACTAGTCCCTCTCTTCTCCCACCTCTTTCCCTACCCCTCTTTCCTCACCAGTAACTAGTCCTCTCTTCTCCACCCCTTTCCTACCCCTCTTTCCTCTGTAACTAGTCCTCTCTTCCCACCTCTTTCCACCTTCTTTCCTTCCCAGTAACTGTCCCTCTCTTCTCCACCACCTTTCCTACCCCTCTTTCCTCACAGTAACTAGTCCCTCTCTTCTTCCACCTCTTTCCTACCCCTCTTCCTTGGTAGTCCCTTTCTTCCCCTCTTTCCTACCCCCTCTTCCTTCCCAGTAACTAGTCCCTCTCTTCTCCCCACCTCTTTCCCTACCCCCTCTTTCCTCCCCAGTAACTAGTCCTCTCTTCTCCCCACCTCTTTCCTACCTCTTTCCTCACCAGTAACTAGTCCCTCTCTTCCTCTTCCTACCCCCTCTTTCCTCACCAGTAACTAGTCCCTCTCTTCTCCACCCTTTCCTCCCCTCTTTCTCACCAGTAACTAGTCCCTCTCTTCTCCACCACCCCTTTCCTACCACCTCTTTCCTCACCAGTAACTAGTCCCTCTCTTCTCCCACCTCTTTCCTACCCCTCTTTCCTCCCAGTAACTAGTCCTCTCTTCTCCCTCTTTCCTACCCCCTCTTTCTGCCCCAGTAACTAGTCCTCTCTTCTCCCACCTCTTTCCTACCCCCTTTTTTCCTCCCAGTAACTAGTCCCTCTCTTCTCCCCACATCTTTCCTATCCCTCTTTCTCACCAGTAACTAGTCCCTTCTCTTCTCCCACCTCTTTCCTACCCCCTCTTTCCTCCCCATTAGTCCTCTCTTCTCCCCATCTACCCCTCTTTCCTTCCCAGTAACTAGTCTTCTTCTCCCACCTCTTTCCCTACCCCTCTTTCCTTCCCAGTAACTAGTCCCTCTCTTCTCCCCTCTTTCCCTACCCCTCTTTCCTCAGTAACTAGTCCCTCTTCTCCACCACCCCCTTTCCCTACCTCTTTCCTCACCAGTAACTAGTCCCTCTCTTCTCCACCACCCTTTTCCTACCACCTCTTTCCTCACCAGTAACTAGTCCCTCTCTTCTCCCCCCTCTTTCCTACCCCCTCTTTCCTCTCCTACCGTCCCTCTCTTCTCCCACCTACCCCTCTTTCTGCCCAGTAACTAGTCCTCTCTTCTCCCTCTTTTCCCTACCCCTCTTTCCTCCCCAGTAACTAGTCCCTCTCTTCTCCCCATCTTTCCTATCCCTCTTTCCTCCCCAGTAACTAGTCCCTCTCTTCTCCCACCTCTTTCCCCTCTTTCTCACCAGTAACTAGTCCTCTCTTCTCCCACATCTTTCCCTACCCCCACTTTCCTCACCAGTTACTAGTCCCTCTCTTCTCCCCACCCCTATCTCCACCCCACAATAATCTCCCCTCCCTGCCGCCCTACAGAGGTGTGTATGATGGACAAGGAGATTGGGCCGTGTCGTGCGTTCATCACTAGTTGGTATTATGACAGTAGCCGGCAGATGTGTCTACCTTTCCAATACAGTGGTTGTCGGGGACAGAAACAGGTTTAATAACTATGAAGAGTGTACCCGTGTCTGCGAAATGAACAGACGTAGGTATATCTGCCTGTCTGTCTGTCTTTATGTCTCTTTCTCTTTGTCTGTCTATCTGTATGTCTGTATTCTCTCTGTTCTCTCTGTCTATTTGCATCTCTCTCTCTCTCTCTCTCTCTCTCTCTCTCTCTCTCTCTCTCTCTCTCTCTCTCTCTCTCTCTCTCTCTCTCTCTCTCTCTCCATATCAATCAATCCTAACTCAAAAGGTTGATATCACACTAGAATATGTCTATTTAAATATCAATATCACTCTTATGTCAATCTGTTTCAAATGGTCGCTGAATTATAGTCAACTTTCTGTGTGGCGTATCTTGGACCATAATTTGAGTTATTGAGTTAAGGATAAAAGATGATTTTTTTTAGTGTTTATGAATTATAATTTTTGTTCATAATTTCTGGGCTGTAGTAGGAGGTATTGTTATAGTCTCAGTTGTTTGCTTTTTTTTTTGTAGTTGTTGTCATTGACACTTGTTGATACTGTTGTTATTGGCAGTTGTTTATGTTGTAGTTGTTGTTATTGACACATATTGTTATTATTAACACTGTTATTGTTGAAGTTACTGGCACTGTTGTTGTTGTTATTATTAATGTTATTGTTATTTACTGTATTTGTTTTGCAGACACTAAGGGCAGCCAGGACTTCTTGGGTGGACCTGAACTCCCACAACCCTCCCAGGTGAGCCTCAAGTCTCTGTCTTATTATTATTATTATTATTATTATTATTATTGATTATTATTATTATAATAAGTAGTAGTAGGCGAAGGTGTGGTTATTAGGGGAGGCTGGAGGCCACATTAAAAAAAATACCGCAGTAGTACTGGTCTGAAATTATAAAATAGGTTTTGAATTGATAGTTAATTTTGGAATGCCTAAAATAACTAATCTAACATATCCTAACTTAATGCTAACTTAACCTAAGCTGGGATGTCTAATCTTTAAGTGAACCAAAAGTTTTAAAAGTTGTTTTAATGTCACTGATATATCAATCCAAATTATTTTTGTGCCTTAAATGACTTAGTGATCCAATTCAAGAGTTTAAGGTAGCTATACTTAAAACAATTAATATCTTAACTCGGCTTGGCATTGATTATGAGTTGGTTTTATTTTAGGAGATAAATACCTTAAACCAGTTCAGTTATCCAACTTTCGTTTTAAAGGGTCATTCCTTAAATTCAGTGAAATTATTCATTTTCATTTTAAAGGCTAACTACTAAATATCAGTTCAGTTATCCGATTTTCGTTTCAGAGGTTAACTACTTAAAATCAGGATCTCCGTAATGTGTCTCAAAGGTCAAATTAAATGTTGCAGGATCTCTCTCTACGCACCCAGCAACGTGGAGAATCTAAGGCTGGAGAAAGTGAATTGTATGGTAACACCGTGGGGAGAATGGTCACCTTGTTCTGTCACCTGTGGGAGAGGTCGTATAGAGAAGAGACGGATGATTAAGGTGAGTTAGGGGAGGGTGGGGCATAGGTGAATGTGTTGGCTATGTGGGAGAGGGGAGCGGGTGAGTGGGAGTGTGGGTGGTGTGGGTGGGAGTGTGGGTGGTGGGGGTGTGGGGTGTGGTGAGTATGTGAGGAGGATGTGTGTTGAGAGGTGAGTGTGGGAGTGGGTGTGTGGGTGAGTGGGGCAGGGGTGTGGTGAGTGGGGTGTGGGTGAGTGGGTGTGGTGGGTGTGGGTGAGTGGGGGTGGGTATGGGTGGTGTGGGAGGGAGGTGTGGGTAGAAGTGTTTGAGGAGGGTGGAGTGGGCAGGGTGGGGTGTGGGTGGTGGGTGGGGTGTGTGGGTGAGTGGGGTGGGGTGTGGGTGTGGGGGTGGGGTGTGGGTGTGGTAAGGGTGGGGTGTGGGTGATGGGTGGGGTGTGGGTGAGTGGGGTGTGGGTGAGGTGGGTGGTGGGGTGTGGGTGAGTGGGGCGAGGGGTGTGGGTGAGTGAGTGGGGTGTGGGTGGTGGGGGTGGGGTGTGGGTGAGTGGGGTGGGGTGTGGGTGTGGGGGTGGGTTATTGGTAATGGTGGTGGGAGTGTGGAGTGGTAAGGGGGTGGGAGTGTGGAGTGAGTTGGGGTGTGGGTGAGTAGGTGGGTGGGGTGTGGGTGAGTAGGGAGGCGGGGGTGTGGGTGAGAGTGTGGGTGGTAAGTGGTGGGGAGTGTGGGTGGTGTGTCTCATTCCAAATAACAACTCGTAATAAGGTACAATTATACATCTTTTCTACATGAAAAGATCGAATAGTTACCATGCTTCAATAAACCTCTAAAATTTTATCTTATTATTTTCTACAAACCACCCAAAGTTCGTCTCATTACCTTCCTGTAAAGTGACCTCCTTCGTCGCTTTCGTCGAGGTTGAACCCACAGAACGGAGGGAGGAGATGCCCTGAGCTCGTCAGGAAGAAGAAGTGCAAGAACTCTAGCTGCAGTAAGTAGTGGGGACCCAAAGTGCCCTGAAGAACCTCTCCCCTCCCCCTCTGGCCGGCGGCGTCTGTGTAAAGTCTTTTTGCCCCCCCTGCCTCAAGGTCACTCATGAACCCACATCCCCACTTCACCACCACAAAGACCGCCAAACCGCCTTCTACCTGACTGTCTGTTTCATCCTCATCCTTTGCCCTGGTCTTTTCGAGATTTGGCCAGGAGCCCTCCCCACCCCCCTACCCCCACCAAGGACACCATCATCAGATTGAACTCTTGGGGGTCCATTGAGGAGCCAGGCTGGTCAACAGGGGCTGGTCGGTTGGGTGCCGTGAAGGAAGGTGTCAGGGAGAAAGACGACCACTTGCAGTTCACTTTTCACAAATGAAAACAAAAGCAGATTTTTTAACGCGTTTTTTTTACACAAGTTAAAATAAGAATGATCCATGTGTATTTATTTCTCTGTAAAATCAAACAAACAAACAGGAGGATAGAGTATAAAGTTTTGAAATCTCTTGTGAAAGAGTCACTGTACACCCAACCTTCCCCCTCCCTCCCCAGATGGCACAACAGCAGTGGTAGTGGTGTGTGTGTGTGTGTGTGTGTGTGTGTGTGTGTGTGTGTGTGTGTGTGTGTGTGTGTGTGTGTGTGTGTCTGTCTGTCTGTCTGTGTGTGTGACCTAGTATGCCAGAAACTGCATGCTGTTTCTAGTATTCGTAGAGAGTGTCTCAAACAATATATAATATATTATAGAATTAAGGAAGTGAAATGCATGATATCCATTTGTGACAATTGCATTTCTTGCATGGCGTTTGTTTAGGTTTTTTTAGACCCAAATGATAAACGCTGAACCTTTGCATGATGTTTAACTTGCTCTAAATGAGAGGAAATAATTCAAAGACAATTGTTTTTGTCTTGACATAATAATTTTAGACAACATGGAGGAATACTTTCATGTTTACATTACTGTGTTTGTGTTGATAGACTAAGATCACTAATGTTAGAATCAACTCTTATAATTATTAGAATATTGTTGTTGTGTTAAGATTACAATAATAAGTTTTGAAAGTTTTAGTTCACAATCTACTGTATATCTAGACCTCGAACACAAACATACAGATAAATTATTAGTTACCATGAGATAAAACAAATTTATTATGAATAAGAAAATACACCCTATTTCGACAATCATCTTGATGTATTAAGCCCAATTTCACAATGACGTCATAGTTTGTTTATGTGAGGTGCATTGTGGGTCGAATATAGAGTTTGGTCGATTTTTTTTCATATATCACCAAAAAATAAAACGAACTAAAATATGTGTTTATCACCCAAAGAGTTAATATGATCCACAAGGCACTACGTCACGGATGTGTATGAGACAATGACGTCATACCCAAAATGCACCTGTTTTTGTTTACAAAATTAGTGACGTCATGGTGGAGTAGAGCAGTGATAGTGAGTGGTTTGTGTTGTGACGATGCCTTAATGAACGTCAACCTATGTAGTAACTTTAAACATAGTACCTAGTGATAACTTTAATAAACAATAAATAAAACCTACTGACCAACAAGAGAGAAAATAAACATTAATTCCTCTTGATAAATAAGTCTCTGTTTTTATGTTTAATGAAGTGATAATTTGCATGTTTAGTTAGATGATTTGATTAGCTTTTTTTTGTATAGCTCAGACAGGTGTCAACACAGTTCACCTGGGGTAATATGTAGATGCGTTTTATTTTTTTTGCTATTTTCTTTTGACTTTGACTTATATTTCTGAGTACACAATACACACGATCGTTGGAGGTGGATAGGACACCGGTTATAAATGATGACAATTACGAAACGAAAATAACACCGGGAGAAACAATAAGATAGCGAATGATCTATATCAGTATATCCAGGTTATATAAGAGTTTTTCTTATCAGTGAATATTATTTATTTACACTCCTATAAAGCACTGGTTTAGTACAATGAATTAACTCTATAAAACGATAGATTAACCTCTTGATTACAATGGTTTAACCTCTTGAATGCATTGTTTTCTAACCAAGGGGTTAAGCCATCGTACTCAAGGGGTTAAGCCAACGTCCTCAAAGGGTTTAGTCATCGTATTGAAGGGGTTAGGTAATAGTATCAAGGAGGTAAGTCATCATACTCAATAAGTCATCATACTCAAGGGGTTAAGTGATTGTACTCTAGGGGTTAAGTCATCGTACTCAAGAGGTCAAGATGTATGAAGGACTCAATCAGTTTCTTTATAATTATTATTTTTTCTTTGTCTCAAAGTCTGTGACGAATGTTTCTAGAATTCAATATCAGAAGTGAGAATTACTTTTTTTGCTTTCTTAAGTTAGCTTTGGCCAATACAAACACACACACATATTATTTCTTCTGTATTACATTAGGTCAATATTATAACAAGAGCTAATTTAATTTTTTTAAGTTAGCTTGGCCACTATAAAAAAGCTTATATATTTTTTGTCTCATGCTAACTTAGCTCAATTTAAAACAGCTAATTATCACCTTTTTGTTTTTGGTTAGCTTAGCCCAATATATAAATAGAAAGCTAAGATTTTTGCTAGCTTTTTTCTTGATATTATAAGTTGTTCACAAAAAATATAATTGATTAGCAAATAAAAGTTTGTTTTAATTTGCTGTTTGTCTCGAACCTTTATTTGTTTGCCTTGACTGTTTACCTGAAGACAATTTTTATGTCATTTTCTTACATTTGTTTGTAAAGAAGAAAACAAGATATTTGTGTATATACAGTGTATATTATAATGTAATGTCATCAGTATTATCTTTTTGTTGCTTGTTACTTTTTGCAAACAAATGTCCAGTAATCAAACACAGAAAGAATAACACTTTCTTTAAACAAACAAACAAACACACATAGTGGTTGTTTGTAGACTAAATCCAATCAATGTTTTGTTTATCCTCCTCTTCGCTTTTACTATTACTGTAGTTACTTGTTTTCTGTCATATGTAGATTTTGTTTTTGCTAACTAAATCCTAAAGAAATAGAATAAATTGCCTTTTAGCGATAACTTATATGTATTTATACTTTTTTGGGGAACTTCTGATTATAGCGTAGTTGGTGTTTGTCCCTATTAAGTGTGAGACGTGTATAGGCACCTGCAAACATCTACTGTCTATACTTCCAAACTGTGTGTAATACAGTATCTCTCTCAGAGGCTGTATCAAAGTGGACTGTAACATGAACCACACTACCACACTAACCTGCACCACCCACCACACTAACCACCACACCACCACCCACACTAACCTACCACACCACCACCTCCTAACCTACACACCACCCACCACACTAACCTACCCACATCACCACCACACTAACCTACCACACCACCACCACCACCTAACATTCCACACCACCACCACACCTAACCTACTAACCACCACCACACTCAACCTGCCACACCCCACCACCACACACACACACCTCACCTACACACACCACCACTAACATTCCCCACCACCACCAACCTACCACACCACCCTCACTAACCTGCCACACACCCACGCCACTAACATTCCACTACCACCACACTAATATACACCACCACCACACTATACCCACCACCTCACTAGCCTGCACCACCACCTCACTAGCCTACCACACCACCACCGCACTATTACCCACCCCGCACTAACCTACTCACCCACTGCCACAACCTACTACCACACCACACTAGCCTACCACATCACCCACCACACTAGCCTACACCACCACCACTGCCTACACACCACCGCAAATTAATCCACCACCACCACCTAACCTGCCACACCACCACCATGCTAATCTACCACACCACCACCATACTAACCTACTACACCACCACCACACAACCTACCACACCACCATCACACTAACCTACCACACCACCACGCAACACTGCCACACTAATACCACACCACCACCACACTAACCTATGCCACCACCACTAACCTGCCGTCCCATCACATAACCTACCACACCACCACACACAAAACTACCACACCACCACCCATATTACCACACCACCACCACACTAACCTACCACACCACCACCACACACAAACCTACCACACCACCACCCTAACCTACCACACCACCACTGCAATACCCTACCCACACACACACCACATCTACACCACAACGACACTAACCTACCAGCCCTCACGACCTACCACACCACCGGGCACTAACCTGCTGGCCACCTCCACAAACCTACCACACCACCACCACTCAACCCTAACACACCACCACTACAATGCCTACCCACACCACCACCACACAAGCGTGCCACACCACCACAGTGCCCTACACCACAAGCCACACACAACCTGCGCATACTGCCACCACCACCACACTAACGTGACGCCACCACCACCACCACCACAGTATTACCACACACGCTAACCTGGCACCGTACCACACCACCACACACCACGCTGAACACCACCACCACAGTAACCTACCACACCACCACACTAACCTAGCACCGTGCTACCACACCACCACCACCACCACAGTAACCTACCACACCGCCACACTAACCTGGCACCGTACTACACACCACCCATCACACTAACAGACCACCACCACCACGTTTACCTACCTCACCACCAACATGCTAACCTCCACACCACCATCACCACCGCGACCTACACTACCACCCTTTACCTCCACACCGCAACATGCTAACCTACCACACCACCACATTTTACTTACCACACTGTAGAGTGTTTATGTAATGGGGCGGCGAGCGAGTGAACCACTGTCAATGGCGTGAATGAGCGTGTGCAAGAGTGCTGTCCTCTAGTGGCGGCGTGGTAGACGTGTGCATGAGTGCTGCCACCTGGCGGTGTGAATGAAGTTGGACGTCTGAGTAGTTGGATGACACAGCACGAGGTTTTGTGATCATGTGAATTACCCTGTGAGACAGATTGTTTCCTGCTGCACCACTGTACAGACCTCTCCCAGTTAACTGCATCTGTGAAGACTGTTTCCTGGAGACGTCAGGAACCAAGTAGAACTTGAACACACACCACTAACATACTCACCTACCACACCGCCACTACATTTACCTACCACACCATCAACATTCTAACTTACCAAACGTATTAGACCACAACCACACTAACCTCCCACACCATCACCACCACCACACTAACCTCCCACACCACCACCACCGCCACACTAATCTCCCACACCACCACCACACTAACTTATAACATCACCACCAGAGTAACCTACCACACCGCCACCACACTAACCTACGAACCACAATCACATTAACCTACTACACCACCACCCCACTAACCTACCACACTACCACCACCACTCCACCACCACCACACTACCTTATCACACTACCAACACACTAACCTACCACCACCACCCTACCTATCACACCACCACCCACTAACCTACCATATCTACCACCACCACACCACACCACCACCACCACCACTTAACCTACCAAACTACCGCCACATACCTTCTCACCACTACCCACTAACCTACCACACTACCCACCACCACCATCACACTAACCTACCAAACTACCACCTCACTAACCTACCACACTACCATCGCACTATCCTATCACACCACCACCACACTAACATACCACATCACTACCACAGTGACCTACCACACCACCAACTCCCTTACCTAGCACACCCCCACCGCACTAACCTACAACACCACTACCACAATAACCTACCACACCAGTACCACACTAACCTACCACACCACCACTACTACACTAACCTACCACACCACCACTCACACTAACCTACCACACCACCACTACTACACTAACCTACCACACCACTACCACAATAACCTACTACACCCCCACCACTAACGTACCACACTACCAATGTATTAATCGACCATACTAACTACTAAACCACTTCTCTTGCACCAGACGACGGGTACAATGGCCTTGAAAGTCTTAGCCTGCGTAGGGACCTCCTCCGCCTCCATTCCAACCCTATCAGGCTACCGGTGAGCTGACCTATCTACCGGATGAAGAGTATATCGCTCCGGCTCTTCAATCCTCCGTTCCCCTTACCGGGTGCTCGAGACGAAGGCGCATACGACACAGTTGATGTTTCTGCTCCAGCTCCTGCTCCTCCAGCTGATTATAATTACGATGATGGTTCCCTGGTAAGTGTGAGGGTGGTGTAATGCGTCTAGTGTGGCAGCATTGTGTTAGTGTTAAAATGCAAGCACTGCTTGCTTCCTCTCGCTTTCAGATACCGCCGCTGGCTAGCCCTTGTGGCGAACAGGGAAGTATAACTTTCATAAGTCCTCCCTGCCAGTAGGCAGCCTCTTCACCATCAAGACTCCTGCTGTGCATTGTCTTGGCAACACTCGGTACTTGGGTGCCTCGTGGGCCCAGGCTAGATGAGCAGGGAATCTCGGAGCAGCAGTGGGCCCCAGAGGGACGGGATATAGGCCCACTGGTCACATCCTGGCGCCTACCAACCACTGCCCTGCTGCCTTGTGGATTAACCTTGGTAGGTATAATGCTAAGGGAGTAAACCACGAACGAAAAATCTGCGGTGGAGCCCCGCATCAGGCAGACATGCTTATAGAGCTCCAACAAGATCCCAAAAGGACTGAAAACATGCATTAGGCAGAAATGACTTATTACATACAACGACATGGGGTGGGTGGGTGGGTCGTTTAAGAAAAGCTTTCATGACTAAAACAAGAGGAACATAGACTAAACATACAAATTATAGTTTACAGTTGATGACCCGGGCTGGTCTCTTGCCCATCTGTGAGGTCACGTAGGCCACTTGGTGCAGTAACTCGTTTATAGGTGTTGACATGAAGGACCTCACGTGGTCATGGAGACACCAGGTGGTGCGGTGTTACAGTGTGAGACACCGGTGGTGGTGTTACAGTATGAGAAAGCGGTGTGGTGGCGGTAAAATTAACTAATTCCAATATTATAAATTAACTTTATTGGAATTAGTTAATTTTCTCCACCCCCACCCTGTTAAGTACAGTACTGCAGTGTCCCTCAGGACTCATTTACAGGTAGTTTAAAACTCGGGTTGAAACACGACGACCCTCTTCAAGGGAAGATGCTTTTTGATAATACCGGCGTAAGCGTCTGGAGGATCCAACGGTAACACATGCTTTTAGAGAGCAGGTGGAACATGGGCTGTATAAACAACCCGACAATAAATAACCCAAATCCCAGCGCCGAGGGGTGTTAGTGGTCATAATGACGCTTGGAATCATTAATTTTTCGACTCTTAAAATATTCCTTAGTTTTTGGGTCGAAAAACGATTTGTTCTCAAAATATCACTCTAGGTCGTCCTTGACACGCTGATTAAGCATATGTGGTCAAGAAGTCGATGAGTTGGAAGTTATTATGATATTTTTCTCAATGGTAATTACTGTATTCGCTAACTATGAGATTCCGGGGTACTTTTGATGTTTCAGTGTTGTTATTCAGACACATTAATAAATTCTCTAAATTTACCCGATAACATAAACCCAATATAACCATTATTATAAAATCGAAATGGGTTACCATTTCTTAAATCTTCCATCTACCCTGTCCTATTTTAATCTCCATTTTTTCCTTCCAATACAGGTGGACTGTAATGGGTGAATGGGGCCCATGGTCTCTGTACTCATTCTTGTGGACCAGAAGCCTTACAACAGCGGTCCAGGAACGTCATTGTGGAGCCTCGTCATGGGGGGGCGGTATGTGGGGACCGGTATGAGAGGCGGTACTG